GTACAGCAGCTCTGAACCCTTCCCTGTCCTGAGCCAGTCTCACTATTCCAGCACACCAACTCATATTGTACCAGCCACTGTATCAATCCATCTCATCTAGGGGTCTTCTTCTCCTGTGCTGTCTGTCCATCCTTCTGATAATGATGTCCTTCTCTAAGAACTGGTTTCTTCTTGCCATGTGCCGAAAATAACTTAGGTGGAGCTACAAAATCCTAGCTTCCAAGGCAAGGAGAGACTTGTTGGTTTCACCTTCTCTAACACAGACCGAATTGGTTTCTTGACAGTCCGTGGTATGCTCAAGACTCTTCTCCGCACCACAACTCAAAGGAATCTATTCTTCTGTGCCATCCTTCGTCATTGTCCAGTTCTCTGAAGCCTAACAAGTAATTGAGAAGAGCATGGCCTGAATTAGGGTATACCTTTGTATCTAGACTGACATCAGCAATCTGGCAACGTCCGTGACAGCAGATTTCCCCAAAGCAGTTTGTCTTTTGATTTCCTGACTGCTGGTGTTAAAAGTGTTGACTGTGCAACAATGAATAAATGAAAATAGAAGTCTCTTTACATTTTCATTAAAATTAATAATAAGAAGAAAATGAAAAAATAAAATAATTTGAAAAAAAGAGTGTTGATTGTGGATCTGAGCAAGCTGTAATTGTTAACAATCTCAATCTCTTCTTTATCTATCATGATGCTTCCAATTGGCCCAGTGGTGAAAATCTTTTGTCTTATTAATGTTGAGCTTCAATACATATTGAAGACTACAGTCCCTGACCTTTTTGCAGCAAGTGCTTCAGGTTTTTAGTTTCAGCAAGCAATGTTGTGTCATCTGCATATTGTAGGTTCTTAATGAGTCTTCCTCCAATTCTGATGTCACACCCCTCTGTATAAATCCCTGCATCACAAATGATTTGTTCTGCATACAGAGTGCAACAATGAATGAGTGGAAATCCAAAATCTTTATTAATAAAAGAGAGGAAAAAAAGAAAGAAAAGGTATGGGGACAAGATGCATCCCTCACACACTCCTGATTATTAACCATAGAAATTCCATTTAATAGTTGACTGACATTGTTGCTCTTCAGTACTTTAGAGAGATCTCTGACAGCAGACTTTCTCAATTCGTCTTTTACTTTCCTGGCTGTTGGTACTATGAGTGTTGATTGTGGAGCCAAGCAAACTAAGGCTGTTAACAATCTTAATCTCTTCACCATCCATCATAATGCTGTTAATTGGCCCAGTGGTGAGAATCTTTGTCTTCTTGATGTTGAGCTTCAATTCATATAAAATACCAAAGAGCAACTATGTCAGTCTAGAGACTAAGGTGCACCTGATTCAGGCCATATTCTTTGCAATTCCTTACTATGCATGAAAAAGCTGAACAATGACTAGAGATGATATAAAGAGAATTGATACCTTTTGAGCTATGGTGCTGGAGAAGAATATTGACTTCTAGGAGAACAAACAAGTTCACCCTAGAGAGGCTGTTCCTTGGAGGCAAGGATTCCGAAGCTTTATCTGACACACTTTGGACATGTTGCAAGGTGGAACCAGTCCTTGGAGAGGAACTTTATGCTTGGAGGGACAGTGCAAAAGAAGGGGACCCTCTATGAGGATGGATTGATTCAGTGACTGGGGTATGTGTGTCAGAGACAATGAGATAAACACAGAATAGATCAGGGCTTGATATTCTATGAATAAAGATCAATGCCTGAATTTTTAACAGAGAAATAATGCTTAAACTCTTCATTAAAAATAAGTGGTAAGGACTACGTTGTCACTAGGATTGGTGTCAATCTCTGATGAATCTCCTTGTATACCCAAAGCTAATGTGTAAATTATCTTAGAAGTTACTCAAACCCCCAATTCATGAAAATAAAGTGATATAAGTGAAAATTATGATATACCTTTAGTAAAAAAATAGTGTCCAACATTTACTGTAAAAATATTATCACATGTATATTTTGGTAAAATTTAAATTATGGGATCTTGGGTTGTTGTTATGTGTCATTGAGTAGCCTGCAACCCTTAGCAACCTTTTGTACAGCAGCTCTGAACACTGCCCTGTCCTGAGTCAGTCTCACTGATTGTGACACACCAACCCCCAGTGCCCCAGTCACTGTATCAATCCATCTCTTCTTCCTTTCCTGGGTTGTCCCTCCATCCTTCCAAGCATGATGTCCTTCTCCAAAGACCTGGTCTCTCCTGGCTACATGCCCAAAGTATGTATAACAGAGTTTCAAAATACTCACCTCCAAGGAGAAACTTGGTTTCACTTTCTTCAAGATAGATTTATTTGTTTTCTTGGCAGTACATGATATGTTCAAGATTTTTCTCCAGCACCACAACTCAAAGGCATCAATTCTTCTCAGATATACAGCAAGTGCTTATAATCTGGATAGCCTCCTTAGAGTTGATCTCATATTAGTACTTATCCTTTTAGTGATTAGAATACTGTAATTATGTCGTTCTTAGGTGCTATCGAGTCAAGTAGGACTCATAGAGACCCTTATGAACAACAGATCTGAACCCTGTCCTATCCTATGCCATCTTTACACTTCCTGACACACACACACACACACACACACACACAAAAAAAAAAAAACTATTGCAGCAGTCAATGTGTCAGACAGTCTTTTCTCCTAAAATTACAGCTCAAAGGCATGAATTCTTTCATCCTTATTCATTGTCCAGCTCTCAGATGCCTTGTAATTGATCAAAAAGACCATGGCCTGAATTAGATGCACCTTAGTCCTCCAACTGATTTCATTACTCCTCAATAATTTAGAGATGTCTCTAACTACAGACTTTCCAAGTGAACTGTGTCTCTTTATTTCCTGACTACTAGTACCAAAGGTGTTAATCGTGGATTCAAGTAAGATGAAGTAATTTACAGTTTCAATCTCCTCTCCTTCTATCATGATGTTGCCCATTGGTCCACTGATAGGAATCATTTCCTTGACATTGAGATGCAATACATACTGAAGGCAAGTGTAAACTGAAGCCAAAGAAAATGAAAATAAGTCCACGAGAACGAAATGTGATTGTGAATCAATTCTGTCTGAATTTCAAGATCATTTTTGGAATAGATTTGAAGAACTGAACACCAACGATTGAAGATAGGATGAACTGTGGGATGAAATCAAGGTTATCATCCACGAAGAAAGCAAAAGGTCATTACAGAAACAGAGGAGAAAGACAAAAACAAAACAAAATGAAGGTCAGAAGAGACTCTAATAATTATACTGGAGCATTGAGAAGCCAAAAAAGAGGGAAAACATGCTGAAGTAAAAGAGCTGGACAGAAGCTTTCAGAAGGCAGTTTGACAGGACAAAGAAAAGTATTACAATGGAATATGAAGACAACTGAAATTGGATAATAAAAAAGGCAGAACTTGCCCTGCCTTTCTCAAGCTGAGAGAACTAAAAAGTAAAACTGATTTTTTATAAGTCTCTATAAAAGTGTTCAATTCACTTTTTTTCTGTCTCCAGTTTTTCTGTGTTATCCTTCTTTAGTATTTCTATGATCCATGACATTACACCCTTATTATGGGAAAATGAATTACTTGCTAATGTTTTATGCCTTCTGCAGAATTCTAATGATTTCCAGTATTCCAAAGACTCAATAGGACTCAGTCTTGCTTTGGTTTAGCTTCTCCTTTTCCAAGCCCAAACAATGCATATTCTCTACATTTCTGATTTTCAGGAATTTTTAAGTAATTATTCTGTAGGACTCTTCCTTTTCTATGTCCAAGTCTTAGAAGTGCCTATATTGTTTTTTGTAGAAAAGCCTGACTAGTAGTGAGTGATTTTATCATCTAAATTTTCCTTTCCAATGTACACATTCCTAGATCTTTCAAAATTTCTCCAAATTAAGCAACTCTTAATCTCAACAATAAAATAACCATTTTTTAAAAATCTATGACTAGGGTAATGAAGGTAGGTGTGCTAGAATCAGTGTGACTGGCTCAGGATAGAATAGGCTTCAGAGTCATTGTAGATAGGGTTGCTATGAGTCACAGGCAATTCGATGGCACACAATAACGAGTTGTCCATATAATTCTTAGAACTGAGCACATAATACATGAGTTATATGACCATGTGGAAACTGCAATCATTTTTTTATATTCCAAAAGCTTCACTCTTGATACGAATTGTTTCCCCTATCTATGTAACATTTCTGCATGCTTCATTTAGCTTCAAATAAAATCCATTGGCTTTTCAGTCCACTAGTATAGGTCGTATAGCCCTGGTGTGTTCACTTGCAGTTGCTGTGAAGCTTAACACTGTGACACTGATGTGTCAAATGAGTTAATGGTTACCCATGGTGGACAAAGTTTGGTGGAGCTCCCCGATTAAAACAAGCTTGGACGCAGGAGTGGCATCCACTTCCATAAAGAGCTTGCCTCCAGAAACCCTATGATCCTGAAGAAAGGATGAAAGTCACAGAAGAGTTGAGGACTTTCGTTCGTAGGGTTGCTATGAGTCGCCTATGATTCGACGGCACTTAACAACAACAACAACAACATACCAATAGGTAAAGACTTATGCAAAAACCTTAAAGCTTCTCACGCACACTTTATATATGCTGCAGTTGTTAGGTAAAATAGAGTTGGGATCGACTCATAGCTGACCTTTTAGTGGGTTTTTAGAGACAGTAAATCACATAGGAGGACTTTATCCAGTCCATCTTTCTTCTACAGAGTAAATGGTGGAGTTGAACCACATGTCTTTAGTTTGACAGGGCAACTCCTTACTACTAAGCCACCGGAGCTCCCTACATGCTGTTTACAGCATCTTACATTCCAAACCTTCGTGTTTTGTAAACCCTCCAGGGCAGGAGCAAGCCATCAAATTGTAGTCCCAAACCCTGTGGAGTAACTCTCTTAGATACTTTTCTCTGAGTAAATCATGTTTAACACTTAAAGCTGTAATTTCCCCCCCCCCAGTTTTTAGTGAGATCAGAACTGCTTCTAAGAAATAAGGAAAATAAAACATATTGTTATAAATACTGGTTTATTTCATAAAAATACAAAAATATAAATATACATTTATAAAAATATGAATGAATTAACACAAAGACATTCTTCAACTAAATAAATATGGCAGTAATAGTCATTCCTAGTTCATTAGGGAGATATATATATATATATTTCCATAGTAGCTTACAAAGCAATTGCACAAGTTTCATTTAATAGTAAAGGTGAATATAAGTCAATTAGGAAAACATGTATAAAGTACCTATATCTAAGAAAAGGCACAAAAAGCCTTTTAAATATTTTTATTGATTATTTATGTGATATACGTCAGAGAGTGTTAGGCAAGGAGGGTGAACTGGTTAATATTATCATTATTTAGCCTATTTCATTCGTATTCATTCATAGAAACTTACTGATTAAGGAAACCTTTACTAAGACAACACCTACGTATTGTTTGTGATTTTATTTTATTTCCTCCCAGAAAGAGAGTGCAGGCCACTCAGTCTAGTAACACAGACAGTATTTGCACTAAAATTGATCCAGTCAGATTAACACTTTTAGTCTCGGTCACTGTCATCACCCCCATACATATCTGCCAATTTTTTAAAACGAGGCCCCCAGTCGCTGAGGTAATCATAATCTTGGTTGCAATCTGCTGTAAGAGATTCCAAAGAACTGAGGGAATCTGCAATGGAATCATTCCCCTCATAGGCATAGGTTGCCAGGGAATCGTACGGAGGCGCGCTTGGGTCTGAATCATTTTCTTTTAATCTTCGGTGGATAAAATCTTGTACATCAATATTTTCCCACAAAGGCACAGTCCTCCTTATCTGAAAAATCGTTTCAGGCATTACATCCCTTCTAAGTTTACTGTCTTCTCTTGCTTCAGGATTCCTTAACGTGCCGATGTCAAATGCTTGGGTGTCTTCCTCCCCACCCCCTTCATCGTTGTAGGTCACAATGTTGTCCCTCACATCATCTTTGGAAAATATCAGTGGTTCCTTTTTTCTTTGCCTCTTCAAAGCAGCAAACAACACAACTAAAACTATTAAAACACACACACACACAGGAGAAAAGTAGTGAGATTCAATCATGTATGATTAGATGAAATATGACATTTCTGTGAAAGATGTCTGTGAATAAAATTTATAGGGCATAAGGACTGTTAAGATTATTGTGGACAGAAAAAAGTAGCTATTTTTTTCTCTCTTAAATATGCCTTGGGCTAGTGATTGCAAGCATTGTACTGATAATAAAGCTGATTACATTACCATTAAATTTCTTTTCAAGGCTCACTCTTCTATGAAGCTAACTTTGCCATACTTTATTGAATTATGTTTTGCCTTTGTTCAATTGAAATTTCTTGATGATACGCTCTTCCCAAATATATGTCTGTTTCCAAACACCAAACTGAAGCATGAGTCACTATCTCAAAAGGAACTGAGTGCCAAGTGGACTTTGCTTTAATAACTGAATAGAATGTAGCTATCAGCATATGGAAAACCTGCAGAAGTCAGTATATCTAGAAGGTGAAAGCCTTTCAGAAAAGGAAAATGAAAGTATTTTACATTAAAATTAGTGATAGATAAATATTAAGACTGCAACATGCTAGTAGAGGAAATCTTGGGATATTTGGAAAAAACAAAGCCATCCCATCAAGTTCTCTTTTACATAGGTTAGACTGCATGTGATGTTCAGAATCATCATATAGACTTTTAAAATACTATTTAGTAAAATAAATATGAAATATGTTTTATCTCTTGGTAAAGAATGAACATAAAATAATTAAAATCCTGGTAGATTATAATGATATCACATATACACATTGAAGTAGAATAAGTGAGTCCTTATTATATATAATGCAACAACCATAAAGTACCATTAAATTATTAAGGTTTTCTTTTGCTATTATGGTCTTTATTAACTGTTGCATCCAGAGCCCTTTCTGACATATTTTGTTTCTATTCGTGTACATTTTTACAAGGAGGAGTACATAAACTTGATTGAACTGCCAAATACATTCATTGGACTAAATAACTGAAAAAGCCGTGACACAAACTTTAATCTTCCATTCTGCCTTGTAACGTAGATATAAACTAAAAATCACATTTCTTTAAACTGTAAGAGAGTAGTTTCAAAATGTTATTGCCCATATTATTTTACTATCTTTCGAAAAGATTAACTACAAAAATCGAGTAACCTTCTCTAACCATTTACAGAAAAGACTCATATAAATACAAGAGTGTTTTTGTGTCTTTTACGAATGAAACACTTTGAATTAGAGCTACTTTTAACCAAAATAAAGTCACTCCACGTTTAGGTAATGAATTGGAAGGTAAAAATATCTGAAAGATATGCCTTCAAAATCACGCAGGACAGAAAGTTGGCAATCTTTTCTAAATAATACATAAAGTATTTCTATCTAGTGGTAAATTCTATAGAATTCCATTTGCTAATGGTTGTTGTTGTTAAGTGCCATCGAGTTGCTTGTGACTTAGAGTGACCCTGTGTACAACAGCTCTGCACCCTGCTCTATCCTGCACCAACCTCATCCATGTCTGTTAGTCCACTGTTGTGTATAGAGTTTGTTCTTTTGTTCATTTCCTTGTGGGAGGTTTGATACTTTGCAGTGTAATCTGTGTATATGTATGCTGTATGTGGTGTGCATTATAATATTCTAGAGAAATGTAAAATGTGACATTCTAATTTTCTCATTTTTCTAAATTGGTAGAAGAATACTATCTGAGAGAATAAACAACATGAACTCTGCAGCACTTAGCTCACAGAATAAGCCAGATTTGAATCTCCATGGGGATACAAAAATATTTAACAGAGGACTTGAAATACTCAAGCAGCAGGTGGAGGTAGGGACTGCTGATGGTAATGGCAGTGATGTGTGAGTCCTGAAGTATGCCGGGAAAAAAACCGTGTTTTTCTAAAGAGTTGGCTCATTTCAACGGAGACAAATGTTTTTGTCCCTCACTTTTATCAACCCCTGACTGAAGTCCTGCATGACTATCCAGCCAAAGGGATTTTATCCAGATTGCTTGAAAGGATTTGCCTTGAAAAGGAGCCAGCCCATATGAGCATTAGAACATAAATTTGGCTACCTTTCCTGCCCTAAGCATAAGCATTTTTTGGATGAACTTTTGATGGAAACAATTTTTTTGGAACGTTTTACAGTAGAACAACTGTTTAATTGAATTAAATAGTTGTCCTGTTAGGGAATGCTCAATAAAACATTTGGTATTGAAAGGATGACTTTATTTTGAAAGCTTTGCAGGGCTTGATATAACCACAGTGCTAAACTGATACTTTAGAAAAGAAAAATGTCATTTTTTTTATTTTAATGTATCATATGTACACAAAAATTGTCTAGAAATGAATTAAAATATTTATGTCATTATGGTCAATTAATTTGACAATCTGGCATTTGAGTTCATTACTTTGGTACTTGTTTGATATCTTGCTTGTAAAGACAGAGAAGTCTTTGGATTTGAGAATAATGGTTAGAATGTTGTTGTTATTGCTTTTGAGCTAGAGCAGAATCATAGCTGACCACATGGTGGGTTTCCAGAGGCTGTAAATTATGCAGGAGACCACTGCCCATTGCTTCCCCCTGGAGCAGCTGGTGGATTTAAACCACTTCCTTGTGCCTTGGCAATACAACTCATTACTTATTACCACCAGAGCTTCCTATGTTTACAACAGAGAATGTAGAACAGTTTACGTGAATACTCACTGACTGAGGAAAGGCTTCAATGATTGGTTTTAGACAAATTATGTGGCTATTTTTTGGTATAAAATTAAAGATTTTTGCCTTCAAGAGTTAATAAGACAATGGAATAAATTTGTAGAGCCACTGTTAGTCATTGTTAGTTAGCATCAAACACTATAAACATGAAAAATACTTTAAAGTATGCACATGGTATGGTTATTACTTGTTGCTGTGTCTCACTTAGAACCAATTCATCACTGACCCACCAGAATCTTTTCAGAGGCTATAAAACACACAGGAGAAGACTGCTCATCTTTCTCCCATTGAGAAGTTAAGTTAGTGGATTTGAACTGCTTGCCTTGGTTTGACTGTGAAACTCTTCTCTCTTCTATGAGAGCTTCCATAGCCGTAGAGGACTAGCTATTTGGGGAGTTTTAATATCTACAGTCAGCCCCACTCCAACAAGGAGTTTTATACTCAAAATGAAAATTTCATGCAAAAGTTAACATTGTACATTTTTGAGCTAGAGAGAAGAATGTTTCTCAGTGTACAATCTTTGAGTGAGGACAGAACGAACTGTAAATGAAGCAAGTGCATCATCGGTCACATTACTTACTTAACAGTATTAGGACACACAAGAGAATGGCAACTAGAGCCCCTGTGCTCAGGCCTGCCGAGAGGATCAAGGCCTCGGCGTTGCAGGATTGCATGTTCCCCTGATGGTCACAAGCACACACCCGGATAGTGAGCGTGCCAGTGCTGCTTTGAATGGGATAATCATTGTCAAAGATTAAAATTGGCAACAGATAGGTGCTCATTTTGCTGCGGCTGTAGCCATCCCTCCGAGTCATAATCCCAGCCGTATTATCTGGGGAGGAGAGAGAGAAATATTCAATACAAATGTCCATCTGTCGGTAACTTTGCATATAATAAGTTCTCATATGTTTCTCTTTGAAAGATATCTTCTACCTTTGTTGTCTACGATGGTGAAGTTAGGATTGAGGGGGAATTCAGGCACTGGTTCAAAGAAGAATTTATGTCCTCTCGGAGGGTCGTCTCTGTCCATGACGCTAACAGTCTGAATCAGCTGCAAGTACCAAGCAGTCGATTAAACAAAAACAACAAACAGGACATTTTGAGAATTTTTTTAAATTGTTTTAAGAAACAGTAAATTTATCAATGAAATGAATGAACTAGAAAGATATGCTGTTTTGAGAAACTTGTTTCAAGGAATATATAAATGTCTGTTGGAGATTAGATGCAGCCTACTGGGACGAAGCTGTGCTGTAATCCCAAAGACATGCCATTCAAGGCCACCAGCTGCTCTGTGGGGGGACGATGGGCAGTCTCCTCCTGTGCAATTAACTGCCAGTGAAAACCCCTTGGGGGCTTATCTATGGGTTGGTTCTGACTCTAAGGTACACCACCACAACAACAACTGTGCACTATTACCTGTTTCTCTGTCACCGGAATATACAAGGCCTACCATTGTCCAGATGAACATGGAGAGAAGGTGAAAGGCACCCAAGAGTCGAGGACTCTCCTTCATAGGGTCACTATGAATCGCCTGCGACTCAACGGCACTTAACAATAATAATATCAACACAGAGAGAGAGATCAGCTGGCCGTGTGGACACAAAGCGATGCTACCCAGCCAAAGGTGGGCGACTTTTAATTCCCGGCCCTAGGGCCTGTCTTTCATTGTTTTTGTTCAGACATTCCTGTAGGTCATATAGCCCTGGTGTACAAGTTGCAGTACAGCAGTCACTTGTGGTTGCTGTGAGGCTGAACACTGTGACACTGATGTGTCAAATGTGTTAGTGACTGGTTACCCAATGTGGACAGAGAGTGGGGTGGAGCTCCCCAATTAAAACAAGCTTGGAAGGAGGAAGAAAGGCACTAAAGCACCTAGGACTCTCCTTCATAGGGTCACTATGAGTCGCCTGTGACTCAAAGGCACTTAACAACAACAACAACCATGGTCCACGCAATTCTGATTCATGGTGACTTTATACAATGGCGTAGACTGCACCAAAACATTTGGTTTCAAGGCTGTAAGTCTCTAGGGAAGTAAACTTCCACTTGTTTTATGGAGGAGCAAGAAATTTGAAACCACTGTTATTTTGATGATAGGTTTTTCCACAAGTTCCAACATAAAGCCTTATTTCCTATAAATTGATATTGATCACAGGACTTTGTTGTTATGTACCGTATAGCTGGAAGTGACTCATAGCAGACCCTCCGGTAGGTTTTCGGAGTCAATTTAATGGACCAGGAGGAGATTGCCCATCTTTCTTTTGCAGGTTCAGTTGGCAGATTTTAATTGTGTGCCTTTGATACTGCAGTGCAGCTCCTTACCCAAGGCCCCCAGAGCTGGAAGATATTTTTCTCAAACACAAAGAAAAAGACAATAGCTAATATGACTTTAGGAAGCTCTGGTGACCTAGTGGTAAGAAGCTTCCCTGCAATACCATAGTCAAGGTTTGAAATTCACCAGCTGCTTCCAGGACGAAGAATGAGCAATATCCTCTGATGTGATTGAATGTTTCTGAAAACTCACTGGAAGGTCAGTTATAAGTGATCCTAGCTCTAAGGTACATAACAATACTTTAAGAAAAACACACACTCAAAACAAAACACACCACAAGAAGTATTTTGTACAGTCAGAAATAAAGAAAGCTATTTACTCATTATAAGGAAAAATGAGCAATTTATCACATCGTATCAGATACCAACAGGTCTTAAAGGTATAGACATTGTATTATTATGATTAATTATTATTATTACATTATTGTTGTTGTTGTTGTTATGTGCCATTGAGTCATTTGTGACTCACAGCTACCCTATGTACAAGAGCCCTAAATGCCGTTCTATCCTGTGCCAACCTTGCTGTCTCAAACACATTCGTTCCCAATACTCCACTCACAAAATTGATCCATCTCATCGAGGGTCTTCCTCTCCTGCACTGTCCCTCCACTCTCCCAAACATGATGTCAAGGACCAGTTCCTCCTTACAACTTGCCCAAAGTATGTCAGACGAAGCTTCAGAATTCTTGACTCCAGGGAACATTCTGGCTTCACTCTCTCCAGGACAAACCCACTTGTTCTCCTAGTAGTCCATGGTATACTCAACACTCTTCTCCAGCACCACAACTCAAAGGCATCAATCCTCTTTCTATCATCCCTATTCACTGTCCAACTCTCTGATGCATGGCACGTAATTGCAAAGACTATAGCCTGGATCAGGTGCACCTTAGTCTCCAGCCTGATGTCATTTCGCTTCAGTACTCTTGAGAGGTCCCTCACAGCTGACTTTCCCAATGCAATTTGTCTCCTGATTTCCTGGCTGCTGTTACCAAGAGTGTTGATGTGGAGCCAAGTAATCTAAAACTGTCAACTATCTTAATCTCTTCACCATCCATACTGGTGCTGCCAATTGACCCAGTGGTGAGAATCTTAGTTTTCTTGATATTGAGCTTCAATCCATATTGAAGACTGCAGTCCTTGCCCTTCTGCAGCAAGCGCTTAAAGGTCCTCCTCAGTTCCAGCAACAGGGTTGTGTCATCTGCATAACACTGGTTGTTGAGGATTCTTCCACCAATCCTGATGCCACATTCCTCCTCATACAGCCCAGGGTCTCGGATGATCTGTTCTGCATACAGATTGAAAAGGTGTGGAGACAAAATACATCACTGACGGAACCCGTACTTGATTTTGAACGATCCAGTGTCTCCCTGCTCTGTTCTGATGACTGTCTCCTGGTCCAAGTATAGGTTTCGCATTAGCACAATCAAATGTTCTGAGATTCCCATTCTTCACAGAGTCAGCCATAGCTTATTGTG